CTATACCACATCTGGTTGTGATTCATTCGTTTGATTTTCTTCTGGAGCTGTAAAATGCCATAAAAGAGCGCTTCGGCAGACGGGGGACAACCTATCGGTGGGCCGTAAATGAGATATTATTAGACAATCGTATGGATAGACAAAACTGAATCAAACACTTCAATACCCGGCACATAGATATCGACGGGAATAATGCGATCGCATCCGCGGACCACCGAATACGAGTAGTGATAATAACCGCCGCCATTGGCGCAGCTGCCCATCGATATGACCCAACGGGGCTCAAGCATCTGGTCGTAGACGCGGCGAAGCGCGGGCGCCATCTTATTGGTTAGGGTTCCGGCGACTATTATCACGTCGGCCTGTCGTGGACTCGCCCTAAACACGACCCCAAAGCGGTCCATATCATAGCGCGGGGCCGCGATGTGCATCATCTCTACCGCACAACACGCGAGTCCGAAGGTGAGCGGCCAGAGAGAGTTCTTGCGGCCCCAATTCAACAGGTCGTCCACTCGCGCCAACGCGAACTCAGCCTTCGAGGTCGGCTTCGGGAACGGAGAGTAACCCTTTCGCGCCACAGGAGTCGTGTTCACCGTTTTGGACAACTCTTGTCGCACTTCTTCCGACTCGTGTCTCACTTGTGTGGACACCAAAGGGCAACATATCTGGCGTCCAATCAACGCACTCTTCAGATGGTAACCAAAACCACTGAAACCGACTGTTTGTTTGCCATTCAAATCACAATTAGTTAATCATATCATACAATGTCTTAATGTCTTAATACTCACCAAATTTTGCCATTTCTTCGGATCTATTGATTCACTCGAGAAGTAAACAAATCCTAAAATATGGCATAAATTACGGCAAATATATATATATATTGGGCTTTGAGTTGAGATTCAAAACATGTGTTTCTCTTTGAAAGTGATTTACATTTAAATATACTTTGAATTGAGATTTGAAAGAATGGCTCCGAAGAGGAACTCATGGATTATCACTGATATTGTCCCCAAAGACAGTGACACACGAGTTGTCCACAAACCAAAGGACAACACTAATGGTCCGAAGAAGAAGAAGAAGAGGAATAGTAAGGAAGCGGTGGTGACCACCAAAGACAAGTTGGTTACCGATTGGGTCAAAGAGGGAGAGGTTTTCGATTCACAGAAGTCGAAGAATAAACACCATATGATGTCAACCAATCAATCGTTTAAAACTAATAATTTTCGAGACAATTGTCTGAAGAATCGGATGGAAAAGGGAATGATTTTGTTGTCGCCGAATGTCGAGAAGAAGATCTATACTATGAAGAAAGCCTTACGAAAGAAAGGTTTTGATGAAATGGAGATCAAAGACTTGATCCGCAAAAGAAGACGCGAAGAAGAGAATAAATTCTTAAAGAATTCAAAGCAAACATGTTTTAAATGTCGAAAATTTGGTCACAGATTAGCCGAATGTCCGCTCAATGCGAACGACACGGAGGAAGGGGTAGACGTCTGCTATCGGTGCGGGTCTTCAGAGCATAAACTGTCTGAATGTCACCAAAAGAGCACTCGTTTAGCGTATGTCAAGTGTTTCATGTGCTCAGAGGTCGGACACATAACCCGTGATTGTCCTCAGAATCAAAGAGGAATCTATATAAAGGGTGGCAGTTGTAAGGCCTGTCAGTCTGTCAATCATCTCATCAAAGATTGTCCACAAAACCAAAAAGGTTTGGTTTTATATGTGTTTAATTTTATCGTATTTTAAATGAATTTTTATTGTTTAGATAAAGAACTGGAAGAAGAGATCACTTTATCCACACTCGAAGGCAACCATAGTATAGACGCCGATGCGGTCGACATAAAGCCCACAATTGTTAAAACAGAAGTAACCAAAAAAGTGGTCAAATTTTAATATCAATATTTTTTATTAAAAATTTATTTTACAATAAAATTTATTTAAAGGATTTAAAGACAAATATAAATTGTTGTATAAAAATGTGTTTTGAGATCACAATTGAACTTAAATTTAATTCTCATTCAATATAAAAACCGAAAACTGAATATTTATTACAATTCTGTATATAATTGACTAGAATTTTGTGCTTTTTGTATATATTTTTCGCAGCAATTATTGAGGTATAGTTTAGAAAAGAAAGATTGCATAAAATGTTTTGAAAATATAATTAATTATTAAAATTTCTGCTATAAGACGACGGCATTTGTGCGGAGTTTGGCTCGAATTGACATCCAATCGGTTGCCAATTGTGGCCACTATTACAACAGTCGGCGTCAAAGAGAGCACAACAGACACAGTCGACGGGCTTCTGATTGTCGACTAAATAACCGCAACAATCGTTGGGATGTGAGTCGGCGTCCGATTGTTTCTCTTTGTCGAACATTGTATTCGGAAGGCTATACCTATTCGGCGAATCATCCGGTGATCTCTCCTTTACATCGATTATTAGCGTCTGTTTTGCATTAGTCTTACATTTCTTGTTCTTATGAACAATTGAGTAATAGTCGGATGGAATCTCTTGTTTCGGTATTGATATATATTTATAATCGGTATCTTCTTTACAGTGGAATGAAGTGGTCATCGATTCTGTGCTCTTATTATATGCTTTAAGCCTCATATGATCTTCAGTGGATGTAAGACTCGTGAGTTCAGCTGTGGTCACATCCATCTGTTCTGACATTCTCTGAGCGTTTTTGTTCCCCTGAATGAGCGCTACTTTTCTAAATATATTGTCAGTATTTGGTGTCCGCTCTTCGTATGCGTTAGGATTATTCAATCTCTTTTGCATTGCTTTATATAATATAAAGATTGCCAAAAGTCCGGCCAATAGTAGGATAACTGATATGACAACTGTGAACAATACTGGAATCACTTCGTTGTCTTCGTTAGTATTTGTACTGTCGAAGTGTTCGACCGCTATCTGGACCGGAGAGTGGCCTGAGATATGGTAGACATTGCTTACCGAACCGTACGGCTCGACGTCGTACTCGACAGCTGTAGTTCCGGCGCTATTCTTCATAATTACTTTGATTTTATAATTTTTATTTGTTTTGAATTCATTAATAACAGCCGATTCTAACACAGAATTGACAAACACTAGATTCCATTGGTTTGAATCAAGTGTTTTCCACTGAATGATTGGGTGGGAAGTGAAGGCACAGCCGCCGTCTTTCCATGTATTGAGGTTTAGCTTAACTGATGTCGAGTTAAGTCTTGTAACAAATGATTTAAAAGGCGGCGAAACGGGTTCTTTTCCCAGAGTGCGGACATTCAGCACATCTGATGGACTGCTTTTGCCGAATGTATTAACATTGAGGACATATATTTGGTACAGATTTCCACATAACAAGTGCTCAATCGTAAAGGTCTTGTTCTTATTGAGTGCTTCATCTGTTATGATATAATACTTCCACTCTTTGTTTTGAGTGCTTCTAAAGTAGACTTCATGCGCCCGAATGGGTGCCAATTCATCGCCTCTAAGTCTCCACGTGATGGTAACGGAACTGGTCGTCACATTCAACACATCCACAATCGGAGACAACGGGTAATTAGAATTGGAATCTCTTTTAATTTTGAGTTCATATGAAATGGTATCGAATCCATGAATATTAGACACAAAACAGGAATAATTTCCCGAATCATTGAGCGTTACGTTTGCTATTCTGAGCGAACCATTCAGTAATACTTGAATTCTTTGGTTTCTGACATTTCCTTCCAATTCAAGAGATCTTCCATTTATTTTCCATTCGGTATTCGGTTCTGGAATTCCAACGGATTTGCAAAACAGTTCCGCCGTTTGTCCGACAGTTTCCTCCATTTGATCGCCAAATGAGACGATTCGCGCAGAAACTAAATGATTGAATGCATATATGAGTGACTCTTTTGTATTGATTACAGTTTAAGACAAAATCAAATAAATACTTTTAGTGGCGATAATAACATTAGCGATGTTAGAGCTCAAGCCCTCGCCGACAGCAGTCCAGGCCGTCACCCAAAAGGCATATTTATGACCTCTAATTAAATTTGTTGTTTTGTGATAATATAGATGTGAAGGCACTGTAAAACTATTCACTTCCTCTTCATTTGTACTTTTTCTATATATTGAATACTTTCTGATCACTCCATTGGTCTGTTTCGGTGGTTTCCAGCTTACGATCACAGAATCAGAACTCGCCTGAAATGCTTTGATAGCGTCGGGCTGTGACGGCAGGTCTTCCTGTGTCCGGCAAAAAACACTCGTCGACTCGGAGTTTCCCATTTGATTGAATGCGTTCACAGCCAGAGAATAGTTGGTATTCTTCTGAAGCCCATAGAGTGTCAGTTTGTTTTGTTGAGCCGTCACTTCGTTTTTCATCACATCTTTATTATCGGTGGGTCTGTAATAAACCCGATATCCCTTTAGAACACCATTAATACTGTCCTCCGATAAGCTGTTCCACGAAATGGTTATACTTTGGGAGGAGAAGGAGACACAACTGACACCAGTGGGTCCGCCGGACGGTATACTTTCGCCGGTCCTAATACTCATTTCGTCAGATCGGGGACCGGCGCCCACATTATTATATGCCTGAACTATAACTGCAAGTAATTGCAAAAAGTAATGCAAAACCAAACAAAGAATTAGTTTATTTGATTACCACTTCAATAATTTTTATATAATCTATCAATAAATATGTTTTAATAGAAATATTGTTTGATTTAGTGATCATTTAATGCGGAATCCATTAGATGTATACCTGAATAATGTGTATAAGGACTCAATCCCTGCAATACCAGAGAGAAAGCTGAGCCCAAATCGAGGTTCGGCTTTGTTTGAACGGTCTTATAGATAAACGGGTCGTTAGTATTGAGCGCTTTGTATCCGATATAAAATCCCTTCAATTCTCCATTCATTTGATGAGATGGGGGCGAAAACCACTCAACTTTAATACTATTGGCATCGATTGCCTCCAAATGGACACGAGTTGGAGGACCTGATGGCGATTCCTCTTCAGTTGTAAACTTAAGTTCTTTTGATAGTCTACTTGTGCCCACACTATTGATTGCAAACAAAATAATTGTATATTCAGTGGACGGGTGCAGACCTCTCAACACAGTTGTCGTTAAATTTCCAAAAACACTAAAATTATTTAAATGTGGAAATTGTGATCCAATGTTCAGATATTGAACTACATATTCGTGGATCTCATCGTTTCCATCGTAGGGTCTCTTCCACGACAATGCAATCGTTTGACTAGATTTTGACGTTATGTGTATGTCTTGAGGCGCTTCCGGAGGCTCTTTAACAACTACTCTAAATGTCTTAGCGATCGGATTCTTAAGATAAGAATTAATTGCAATGCATTTATATATTCCTGAATTATTTTGAGAAACATATTTCACTCTTAATACAGAAATGAGTCCCGTTTTAGTCAATTCTTCTTTAATAATAAATCCAGAATTGGCTGATATTTTATGACTATTGAAAGTCCACTCAACACTTATTGGATGGTCTCCTATGATGTCTGCGACCAATTCGAGTGAATGTTTTTGGTGTACACTTATATTATGGAAGATATTTGGATCTTTCAATTTTGCCGGAATGTGAACAAAAAGTGAGGCTAAAGTACTGAGACCCGGACCGATCCCATTGGATCCCTGGCACAGGTATTGGCCCTCATCCGCGCTCTCAACGCTTGATATCCTATAATTGCAATTAAAACTCAGTTTATATAATGTTTTAATAGTTAAATTCTTAGGGAATAAGTCTCAATACAAAAAAACAACTAAAACAAAACATTAGAATTTATATCTTTTGCTATGTTTTCATTGCTTTAAATCTGATGTCTAACGGATATACACTTGAAGATTAGTTTTCTAGCCATTAATCATTAATTAAGTGATGAAAGCCTTACTTAAGTGATCCATTTTGGAAAACTTGATATTTGGGTCCACTTCTTATGAGGAGATACTGTTGATGGACTCCTTTTGTATTTGTTTGGCTATTATAGGAGTGTTGGAGTCGTTTCCAAGTGATCTGAACAATGGGAAAGCCATCAGCAGAACAGTCTATTCTCACACTATTTCCTTCGATTGCGTCCCTATTTTTCGGTTCAATTATCCATTTCGGAGGCACTGATCATACAATCATACAAAACAATCATAACATTAGACAGTCTGTGTAAACAACGATAAATCTGCTCAACATTTAACTGTAAGATTAGCCACGTTTTTCATTTTATTAATAAAATAGTCAAACAAATAATACTTTAATTGCAAGAATAAAAGTCGCTTTTCAAAGCAAATCTAATCATTGGATAAAAATAAATGCAATAATTTAATTGTCTTATTTTTCCGATACAATACTGCTTATAATTAAATGCATTCAAAGAGTAATATTTTTATATTAATAATTCAATATTTGAAAGTAATATCAATATTCTTGAGGGCCTGAAGTGGTCCCCGCTTTTAGGATGAATGCGTGGATGAGTTTGTTATATACAAAACGTTGTTTGCGATCGCATTAATTAAATCTCAAGCGTTTGAATGGCAAACAAAATGAATTGAATTGCAGTGAACTTGAAATCTTATTAATTCAATTACAACTAAAACATTTGAACACGAGATCAATGTTTGCTAATATATGGGAGAAACACACACACAAAACCTAATTAAATATAGATTCAAAGTCTTTATATGAAAGAGTAAAGTAATTAATAGAAAGTTTTTTTTGCGAAACAACAACACAAAAAATACTTAACAAAATGTAAGCGAAAAATAATTTGAAAATTTTTGAAGATCTATTGAGATTGAAATTGAAAGCAATGGTAATTATATTGAAAACTTAATGTTATTAATAGTATATTTTATTTGTTTGAAGTGTTGTCTCAATTCATTGAAAATAAATGATAAAAATGAAGTGCAAAAGCGCTTATGTAAGCGAATATTGGGCTCAAATGGCATATTCTTTCCAACATTTGTAGAATAATCGATAAAATTTTCAATTACTCCTCAAATATAATTCCTTTGCTTTTCTATTACCACTCATTTATTTTGTGGAAATATTTTGATGAAAAAATCACGACTTTTCAGAAGGTATTAATCAATTCTAACAGAAAATCTCAACTTTTCATATCTGTTGTAAAATAAAGTATTATTGATGTATAAAAAATCTAAAAGAAAAAGTTATAACTTATATATAATATATTGAATATTTCGGTAAAAATATATGAGAAATCACTTGAAAGTGGATTCAAATAAAATTCTTTTGCGTTTATTCTATTCATTTGAGTGAAAAATAAATAAAAGTGTCGATTCTTTTGCGCCCAAAATAAACGAAAGTTAAAATAATTTCAACACTTTTTGTTGACTTTACAAAGGAGTTCATGAATTTCATCAAATTTAGATTAAATTCCTGGTGTAAAACCAATTCATTATAAAAATATTGAGAAATCTAATGATTTGTCAAATAACGAAAAATCTTTATTAAACTCTCGCTTTATTTATTTTGTAACTTTTTTATATATTAATAGAAATCATTTGACAACAAATGAAAAATCAATTTTGCACTTTAAATGAAAAGATGATATATAAAGTAAAACAGCATTTGAACTGAACATACCGTTCACTATTAGATGGGAACTATAGCTGACAGTCGAGGCCTCATTAGATGCAATGCAACTGAAAATTGATTAAATATTATTAATAATACATTATAAGTGATAGGAATGAACCAAAATTAGGACAAATCTATAGCTAAATGAGTTGAAATAATAATAGTTATTAATATTTATCATATAATTGCTTGTGGAGTGCTTTTACATGAATTTTTTTAGTTAAATTAGATTTGTAAGTGTTATTATAGTAAAATACAAAATCAAGCCTATGATTATCTACATGAAAAAATTGTGAATTAAAATTTGATGATCGGATGACAGGTTTCAAACATAAATTATATCATTGGCTTAAAAGCCGCTAATCTCTTACCTATAATTGCCATTATGTATGGCTGAGAGGTTTGCGATGGCGAGTGACAGCGAGAAGGGGTCGACTTCTTGAACAGTAATGCCATCGTTTCTATTGACATCAATTTGTTGTTGATCTTTGAAGAACTTGATGGCAACGGGTGAGTCTCCCTCCGCAACATTGCAATAGATTCTGGTTCTCATTCCTGACTGCAATTTATTATCAAAACTAAAGCCTTCGATGACTGGCGGCACTGAAGACATTCAAATTAATTATTGAATGGTAATACATTGCATATAATATAAACTTAATTTTAAAGCACACCTTTTACTCGCATTAGAAATGATTGTTTCACGGCATCCAAGTTGTTGTCCGCAAACGCAATACACGTATAAATGCCTTAATATGAAAATATATAGAAATGTTTCATTAATTTTTAGTCAATTAATTTTGAATTGAGTTAACTATAGGGCAATTACCGGAATCACTTTTGTCCAAATGCATTATATCGAGAGTTCCGTTGGCTTGGAGTCGGTGCCGATGATTAAGTGGTAGCTTTTTGTCGTCTAAATATTAATATTAATAATAAGTTAAAAGTATTGTTCAGTGATATTTTGTTACGACTACTGCTCTTACAGTACAGAATATAATGAATGAAATATAATGTGAATAATTCCTGTAATCGTTTAGAATTTCAAATACAAAAATACAGAAAGACTTATAAATTGCATTAAAATATCTCTTTTCTAACAATTCTTTTGTGAAAAAAGACCACAAATTAGAGTCAAATTTGACGTTTCATTTATTATTCCTTTAACTTTTTTCATTGAATACGATTCTCATCTCATTTACAGATAGAAAGGGAAATATTTTCAGCACAACAATGAAAAGCCAATTCAAAAATGCAAAAATAAATGGTTTAAAAGGATTGTAAAATTTTTCTCGACAACTGATTCTCTCATTTCGTTTCAAACAAACAATAATTAATTGAATCTCTTTAAGGATATTAATACACAAAATGCTTGAAACAAATTGTTTTGACTCAAGAGAGAGAAAAGTTTGCGTAAGAAATGATTTAATGTTATTTAAGTTTGTATTCATTAATTCAGATTATAGTAATTTTTTGTTTCCATGATTTGTGTTACACTTATAGTGTATTTTAAGCACAAAATCGCCTCAACTCTACAAATGTGCTGTAATTGATCAAACATTTCAACCATTTATTGATCACAAATTTTCAACATTTTTTCACATTTCTGTATATTTTCTTTATACACTTTACAGTGTATTCGGTATATACTGTACTTCTCTACAAATTCGGGGTTTTTTGTGTTTAATTTTTTCTTTAAAGAGAACTATTATTTTTAGTCAATCTATACATAAAAACTATTTTTATAAAAAAAACTTCTTTCCACTCAATTGTGAAGAGTAGACTCAAAATCAATCAAAAATTATTAGAATTTATGTTAGTTTGAGATGACTTCTTATGGCTTCTCATCCATCAATTTAACAACAAAACGAACTCCAAATCAAAAGTGAATTATTGACATAAACTGAATATATTTATACAGAATTTTTTAAATATAATAAAAAAGGTTTAATGAATTCAATAAAATAGTCAACACATATTCATATTCAATTCAATTGTATTTCTTTAATATTCTGAAAATAATGTTTGTATAAATGTTTTTGAAAACAGAATATTCTATATAAAGTAAAAATATCTATATTTCCGAAAATACACTATATTTATAAATAAAGAGCACTTAAGGCATCGCTCTATAGATATGCTATTTTCTACAATAAGAAAAATGTCGTAAAATTCAAACATTTGTTATAATTTCCTCAAATAAAGCAAAGATAAGACATTTTACTATAAATGGTGTTTCCCTCACAAATCACTAATTTTATTATTTTTATAAATTATTATATATTTTTAAAACTACACATTTTAAGAAATTCTCTTTTCAACACTTTATTTAATTAAATAATTTTTTTGCTGAGAAAGAAGTCACGGAAAATGGATTGCATTTCATATCTAATTCTAAAAGTTGTATCCATTCTATCAATTAAATGACTTATCTTTCAGACATTTTCACAACAATTTTGATATTTTAAATATTTTTCACATAACAGTATTGTAAAGAAATGTAAGGAATGGATGCAAACCCTTATGCCATTCAATGATTTTGGGCTCATCGCCGACCACTGGGCAGTTAAGTGTAATGTCTTTCATTGCCGTAAAGTTTCTGCTATGCATTTGTCTGATATTTGTCGGTCCATTGACTCGCACTTTAGCCGAGTGTCGACTGACTCCGGCCTTATTTGTGAGGACACACTCATAGACTCCGCCGTCAAAGACTGACGAAACGGTTATATTTAAATTACTAACGATTGTATTCCTGTCGACAACGTATTCGTCCCACTATTAGATAATTATAAATAATTATAAACTAAACCAATACATTGTGAGCCAACACTAACTGCCTATCAATCAATAAGCCCTTACCAGTGCTTTATGAAGAGTATGTGCCTCTTGTTTTCTAACGTTCAGTTCATAGCCATCGAGAAACCATGTAATCATTGGGATTGGATGGCCTGTGCCGACACACTTGAGCGATATTTTATCGTCGATTCTAACGCTTTGATCGCCAAACAGTTCAATAAAATAGGGCCGAAGACCTATATTATCGTTTGGTTACAACAGAGCACCAGAAAACTTAAGTAATGAGTTTTAAATAACATTTACTGCATTTTATACCATCAAGAATTAATTGAGTGCTATCTATAGCCGAGTCTCCGCCAGAGTTTAATGCCAAACACTGCCAAATGCCTAAACAATAGACACAATGTTATTTTCATTACACAAACCATCAAATAATTGCTATTTTATTTTATGCCATAAATTTAATTCCTAATATGTTTAACTACAAAATACAACTATACTATTGATTAAAATCATAAAAAGTAATTATATTAAAAATATTGATAATTTGAAAATTGCTTTACACGTAAAAACATGCATAAAATAATGAATGAATGTGTGACACAAACCCTGATCACTGTTTGACACAGAATTGATGATAAGAACTGATTGGTCGTGAGATGATTGTATGGCATAGGGTCTGTGTTCGGGTGAAATAGTGTGTCCGTTATGAAGCCATATAACTTTGTTGACAGGATATCCGTAAAGCGAGCAATTGATTACAGCCTTTTGGTTCGCTTCGACCACTAACTTCTTCGGTTCGACGACTGCAACCAATGGCGCAAATATTATGACTTGTGTCTCGCATTTTGCTTCACCGATGCTATTACTGGCGACACAAACGTATTTATTACTATCTGTTGAGCGGACATTCCTTATCATCAGAGATCCTCTCCTGTATTCATAGCGTTGATGACCGGCTATTGGATGTGACACTCCGTCCTCTCGACTCACTCTATGCCAACTGTTTGTTTGTTAAAAATGTATTTATTGTCAACACTATTGAGCTACTGATATACTTTTAAATATTAAAACTTATTGACAATTAAATAATGTTTAATAATAAATAAACTTTTCAATTAATGCCTACTTTTAATATACCAAAGAAACTAAAAACAAGAATTTTAAAACTTAAAAATAAGTTTGAAATGGAAACTTTGAGTTTACTACTGTAATTATAAAGTAGTTGAAATTGAAGTGATTTCTAATCAAGCAGATTTTTACGATAAGACATACATTTAAGAAATATAATATATTGATTGTGTGAATTAGAGTCAGAAGTGGGAATAAATTAGTAAAAAAGGAGCAAAAACTATGAACTGAAATGAGTGTTGATCAGTGATCACATTTCTCACAAGTATTTGATGGCTGGTATGGTATGAAAGTGACAGCAACTAAAGCAACTAAAATGAAACTCTTGTTTCGTGCTCTCAATGCCGACATTTAGGTTTAATTGATTTATTATTGCATGTCTTAGTTATACAATAGTGTTCGTGAAAGAGTGTAACAAACCTGTAAGTCGGCGGTGGCATAGCCTGTGCAGCGCAGGGAAGTTCCACCGATTCTGTCCCTTCCTTTACTACTACAACCGAACGGCAATCTATTATTCGAGGAGTTATACTGTTTGATGGATCTGTGGTCACCCAAAATATGTATAGAAAATGTATTTATATATTACATGTATAGAAATGAATGAAATAATGTTTGCACTTATGTTCACACCATTCAACACAAATGTTTCGCTTATATAACCTAAAACGTGATTCTATTATATAGTTGGCTAAAACTCTAATCAAGTGAAACACAACTGCAAGATGTGGCACTTGTACTCATCTAAGAAGTAAACACATAGACAAAAGGCAACAGACCTGATATTATGATAGATCCCTGAGTGCTCAGTTTGGTCTCGTTGTTGACCACATTTCTTATTTGACATCGATATCTATTGAACGAGTGGTCGTCCGATTGGTTTAAATCCCTTATATGGAGTTCACCGCTTGGAAACACACTATACTTGTCGTCTAAAAATTTGGTTATAAATAAAAATCACAAATTTATATTATATAAAGCAAAGACAGTGATATAGTCAGGTAAAAAGTAATGCACTGGTGCTGAAGTACATACCGGAACCAATAATTTCATGGATAGAGTTTTTAATCCAAGAGATGACAGAAACATAAGGCATAATATATTCGGGAATATGACATCTAAGGACTGCAGTACAGCCACGGATGACATACTCGTCAAACACCGATATCTCAAAATACTGTGAGATAACTGCATGAGAATTAAAAGAAAACATAATTTAATAAACTTTTGGCTACTTTTGTCGGTATGTGTAATATAAGAGAACATAAATATTAATGGTTTGCAATAAAATATTAGTAAAAGTAATAAAATGATGCGATTTATGATTTATAGTTAGGCATCAAATTCTGTTAGGAGTTTATGTGATACCACTCTTAGAGAGCATTCATATTAGAGATGTTGTGTTATTGTGTAGAAGTGGTGGCAAAATATTATATTATTTTGACAAATATTCTACTTCTTTACACTCGTGTTACTCGATATCAACGATCATTATTTTGTTGTCAAGTCGTCAAACCATTCACTGTTAAGTCATTTACAACTTATTACTGTTGGAAATGTATGAAATACGCGATTATTCTCTACCACTAAAACACAACTCAAAAATTACTTATTTTCTATCAATTTATTCTTTTGGATAAAATCTTTGCAAACCCTTAAATCAACCTCAAAAACAAATGTGCCCTTTCTTTCAGCTTTCTCTCTCTCTCTCTCTCTCTCTCTCTCTCTCT